TACAATATACCTCGTAAATATCAATTTCAAAATTTTGGGTTTTGTACAGTGAACTGAATGCTGAATGATACAATATACAACATAACAAGATTAACAACGCATCAACAACATTTGACATATTACAACAAAACAAATATATAAAACAAACTAGGTAGTCAAACCCTTCTGCCACATTTATTACCAATTGAAAGTAAAAAACACATTTTGTTTTGTATTATTTATTTTGTTCCTTGTGCATGAAAATTTAGGCGTATATGTCGTACAAACTTAGAACTGAGGGTTTTCATCTAAAATTTCCAACATTATATACCTCCTCTATTCCAAAAATATTGCAACAAGGATGAAATTACGCATCCCAAAGCACATTTTATATGCTAAATATCTATAATTATATAAGAGTAAAAATTATAAAAAGTTGATAATATGAAAGTATTTTACGAGACGAATCTAACATGATCCTGCATGACTATATTTTACCTTACGTATAAATCATAATATGTGGTCAAACAAGCATGATGAATAGTCTAAAAGTCCGGTTGTTGCAATATTACTAAAATGGAGGAAGTATAAATATACTTAGTATAATGCCAATATTATTCTAAACTCAAACTCTATCAAAGTCGCTATCATTATCTTAAATCGTTTATGCTGCATGCCTTGATGACGTGCTCTGTTTTTTTGGAATGTTGCTCTGTGTGCTGTGCTATGCTGTGTGTGTGTGTGTGAGAGAGAGAGAGAGAGAGAGAGAGAGAGAGAGATTAATCTGTTGTTCAAAGATAAAAATAAGCTAAGAAATAGCAACACACATAAACAAGAAATGTAGATGAGGAAAATAAAAGGGAAAATAACAACACACATAATCAAGTCTTTAGGAGAAAGGGGATGGGGGAGAGGGAGAGATATTTGGGGTTAGAGATGGAACAGGATCTGCTGGACATGGAGACCAGTCTTGGTAAGGGAGGAGAAGAAGAGGTGGATGACTGGGAAAGTGGGAACTGGGCTAGGGTTGAGTTAGTGCCTTTGTGGCTGAGGGATTTGAAATGAGGAGCTTGGGCAACAGTGTGGGTTGCTGGGGAATCTACTTAGAAAGACTTTGTGGGGAAAAGCTGGAGTTATTTATTAACAAACAGTAAACTATCTAAGGGAGAGAGATTGCTTTTCCCGCATCAAATGCTAAATGGCTCTTGGTTGTATCTTCTTCATACTTTGCTATGTTGTGGCTATGATTACCTTAATTAGGGTACTTGGTACTTTTTACTTTTTATTACTCATAAATGCTATTTTCATGTTGGAACATCCAACACTTTGTACTTCTGTGTAATATACTAATATGTGATAGAATATAATGTTAAGATGTTGCAATATGAAGTTCATGTAATCCACTAATGGTTTTTCAATGTTTGACTTTTTTTTTTTTTTTACTTCTTTCAGGGTGTAAGTAAAGGTTTAGTCGCGGAGAAGATATTCACCAAAATGGCTGAGAGTGGAAAGCATGCTGATTTCGTTTGCTGTGTTGGAGATGATAGATCTGATGAAGACATGTTTGAGATCATTGGGAGTGCGATAAACAGTGGTATACTGTCAGCAAATACGTCAGTATACGCTTGTACAGTCGGACAAAAGCCGAGCAAAGCAAAATATTATTTGGATGATACTGCTGAAGTCATAACCATGCTTGATGCCCTTGCTGAAGTTTCAGACCCTTTAACGTCAAGTGACGATGAGACAGGAAGCCCCTCTTGATAGTTGCTTCAGTTATTGTTCAAGTAAATATTGCTTTAGTCTTCAAAATAGCATAACTCAAGGATTTCCTTTCTTGCCTGATACCTCTGGGACCAAGTTGGTTCATACCCTACTGGGAGATCCAGAAAATGTCTGAAATTGAATCTGGCTGAACAATTGAGGTGGGGGATGGGTCTTTTGAGAACTTTTTTTCCGGATTGCCTAAAGGTATACGCAATTGATATTTTCATGCTTGGAAAAGGCTGATTAGGATTGGCAAGTGGGGGACTTTGCTGCGTCAAATGTACATAGAGAGGCTCACCAGGCTTTGCCATTGGATCCGTTCTGAAATTTGTCGTGTAAGAGTTGCTTTGTTCCATTAACTGCCTGGTTGGTGATTGACTCGTACAAGTATTGAAGTCAGATGTCTGGCAAGAACATAACGGGTTGGCTTGTAACTTGCCACATTGAGTTGTGGGTATAGATGTTTTAGCAATTGTTCTTTGCCTCACCCCTCTATTCTGAGAGAGTGAATTCATTTTATGTTTACCTGACAATGTTGAATTCTTTACTAGGTGTACTCCATAGGCAATTGTTTGGGCTGCTGATTATATTTTAAAATGCCAGAATAGGAGTGTTACTCATTCTTTATTAAAATTCCTTCAAGATGTGAAGCAGCAAAAGACTGCTGCATATAATGATTCTGCTTTCGGTACATCCATAGTCCGTAGTATTAAAATTTTCAGACCCTTCAGTGATTGCAATGTATATTAAGGCTTGCAATTGCTCTTTTAAGTTGGAAGTCCGAATCTCGGAATTTTGTACACTAGGAGTGCATTTTGTACCCATGGTTGCTCCCTAGGCATTTGGTGGTGGCATGGAGGCACATATTGAATTGCAGGCGCAATATTTTGTTTCCAGTTAAGTGCTGAGCAGAAATTGACGGAGTTGCATGATACTGAACATATCGCACTACATTGGTTTCAATTCAACTGTTTAAGAAAGAGTTCAACATATATCAAAGCACCGAGACGTGGTGCTAACATTGGTTCCAATCAACTGTTTAAAAGTCCATTTATCAAAGCATCAAGACGAGATGCTACCGCCTATCGGCCTTCACTTGTATCATTCACAGACCTATGGCGACGAACCCTGAACTTCCAGTGTTGAATCTGAAAGAGTTTTGAAGGATGATTGTTTTATGGGTTTGTTTCCCTAGATTAGCTCTAAATGGTTTGAGTAGGTGTGCCTTTAATTGCTGATGAGCACAACCAAGCAATCTAAGATACGATATGCCATATGTTGACAAAAATAGATACTAAGCATTACTTTTAACAACCATTTTTATAAAGAGCGTTTAAAGTGTAATTAGACAACGATTCTTCTGACTTGGACTGTGAGTCTTTTGAGAAATCTTGAACTAGAAGATGAAAAAGGGGCGAAATTGGATCTGTTTGGTAAAATATTGGTTAATTTACAATATCTATCTTACCCAAAAAAATTAATAATAATTACTTTGTTGATGACTAAAGTTTCAAACCTCAATAAAAGTTGGGGGGTTAGAGTGTACTCAAGTAATTAGAGGCAGAAATTGTGTGTGCTCATTTGTTTGTTAATTTTATTTTTCCTCGATTACATCTTTTGTACTATCAAGTAAAATGTTACTCCATAGTTTTACCATCACTTTATTATAATAAAATTGCTTACATTACTCTAATGTACCAAAATAACAAATAGATTCCAACACAATTTGCCGGCTTGAATATGTGATTAATGTCTTGATCCTCCGGGTTAACATACAGAGCAAATGAATATGTAATTAATGTCTTCGAGGCAAATTTGTTTGATCCCCCGGGTTAACATACAGAGCAAATCAATATCACAACCATATATTTTTAACATCTAAGACTTTATTTTGTATAACATACACTTCGTACATAGTTGAGATCAATTGGATTAAGTTTCCCATATTTAGGTATTGACAAAGGTGAGATTATCACCTTAATGGATGTATCGACAACTCAACAAGTCATATGAAAAAATAGAAAGATGATTTAAAGGTGGGAGGATAAGGAAAAATGACGTAGAGTAAATTGATGGAGTTCAAATGGACTAAAATAGTGGGCATCAAATGCTTTGCTTATCTATAAACATTTAGTCCAAATTGGTGGTTCAAATAGTATTAAAGGTTATTTATTGCAAATGAAATACAAAAATGTCAATTGTTTAGTTATAACAAGTTAACAACCATCACAAAAACCCTTGTAAAATAGAACAACTCGAACATATCATTTAATTTATGGATTTCATTTAACTTATAGGCGTTATAGTTGTTTAAATTATTAAAAAAGTGTGAGATTGGATTTGTCTACACCATTGTTCTCATGGCTTTAATCTGACTAAATATTTTAGCACCCAACTCCAATTCTATCTATCCACTTTTTTGTTGAATGAAAAATCAAAACATGAACCTTGATGTAAGTTTGCACGAAAGTGTGACCCTTTGTAACGCACATGTAACACATTTTTGATGTATGCAATATGCATACATGCGTGCCTTAAGCCTTAATAAGATGCATTAAATATTTTTCCTACTTTGACAACACTGGTTTGGATATTCACGGAAAAATCGCGCATCAACTGAAAATATCATTGTTAAATAATTTTTAAGTGCCATTACATCGTCTCTCCTAGGCCTTTTACATTTGTTGATGCAAAACTTTAACCAATTCATCCAAAAATGTAAAAAATAAATTGATATTTGAAAAATATCAAAAACCTTTTTCCATAAGTCCATAACATTTGCTCTTTTCTAAAATATCAATAAAAATTGCGTCACAATTCATATACGTATTATACGAAAAACGTAAAACTCTACCTAGTGTTATTACAAAGTAGTGTGAAACATAGAAATTACGGATTTAGAGTCACATACGAGTAAAATTATATAAAATTGATATTTTATAATATGTTTTTTTTTAACGTTAACACATAGTATGTATATATATCGAGATGAATCTTACTCTTAGAATATTTCGTTTGATCAACCTTTTCTTTTCTTTCAATAAAAAAATACGGAGTCACATTTTTTTTTTTTCTTTTTTCCCTTTCTTTTAAAAATATTCATAATGTTTTTTTAAGGTCTTCTAAATTTTGAAAGACCCTTGACTGGGCAATTGACGACTGAATCCATCTGAACCCTAACCCTTACCCGCCACACGTGTAAACCACACTCGTAAAAAAACTGGTCCCTATATAAATCTCCGGAATTTGCAAATCTAAACCATTCTAACTTTCCAATAATTTCACTTTTAGTTCCTCAATGTTGCTTCATTTCGCTTAGCAGTCCCTCCCCATTTTTTTTTTGTTGAAGCGAGAAATTCAATCCCCAACTCCATAACTTGGAAGAAAGAGAGAGAAAGTTTTAGAGAGAGAAAGTTTCAAACTCTCTGAATAAATTTAAAATTTAATTGAAATTAATAATTTTGTAATAACTTTTAATAAAAATTGATAAATAAAATTTATAAATTTAAAATATAGTCGGTGACGAATTTTCAGTTGCAACACCAAACACGCCCTAATTTCTCTCTCCTCTGCTCGGCGGCCGGTGACATTGTCGCTTTAATTGTCTCCTTTTTTCATGGGCGATCTTTGGATTTTTTTGAGGTTAGTTTTTTTTGAGTTTAATTTGATCTTTTTGTTTGATTTTTCAGTTGTTATTTTGTGTTAATTTTTTTTTGGACTTTTGATGATTTTTTAGTTTAAGGATGCTGTGATTTTGGGCTGATTGATTGATTTATGAGATTATTGGGTTAATTTGTGAGTAATTTGGGTTAAATCGATTGATTTTTGATGGTTAGGGTTTCAAATTTGTGAGTGTTGATGTAATTGTTAATTAGGGTTTGTTGTCTTTGGCCTTCTAGATTGGTGATGGATTAGTTAATGGACGATTTATTTTTAGGTGTGCAACATGTCATATTGTTGAATGATTTAGTTTTTTTTTCAAAATTGTTGATTTTTGTACATGCTTTGTATTTTGCATTTCATATTTGGGATTGTGGAATTTGATGTATATCTGTTGTGGGTTTTATGGACATGCATCGTCTACAGATTTCAGTGCTTATGAGTTATCAATTGAACTCGCGCTTCAGTCAGCTTGTCACACTGAAATCTCAGTGAGAGAAGATGCTTAGGGGGACAGGAGAAGATGAAAAGATTGCTGGTGTTTGTAATCTGACCGTTTCGATTTTGTTCGTTTTTCAGAGTGTTTTATCCTTCACTTCTGGAATTTCAGTTGGACAGTTTACTCATTGTTGTTGTTAGCATCATCTACTAGCTGGTGATATTATTGTGCTCAATATGGTGATTTGTTGGATTGGTTTGATTGAGATTGCTCTGCTTTTCTGTCTGCTACATAGACGGAACACTAAAATGCGAGTGCCAGTTAATGACTTATTTTATTGTTAAGTTGCTGTGCTTCTTTGGAAACATGAAGCATTTCTTCAGGGCATTTCAACAACGAGGCTGTTGAAATCTTTTTCTTTAAGTGACAATTAACACTGTCTTGTTACATGGTTGCATTTGGTTATGACAGGGTTTCACTGTAAAGTTTGTGTTGGTCATTACGTTATATTTGTTTGGGGAAGGGGTGGATCGTGATGCTGCTCTTAGCATGGCATTGGTAGTCAATCACTAGCATCATTGGTCCTTTTTTTAAAAAAATATTTATTTATTTATTATTATTCACTAATATATTTGGCTGGCTGTATTCATGAAATATAGCATTGGAGTTTCTAGATTTAACTAAATAAGTGGAGATACAAGGGAAAATGGTGTATCTTTAGGAATCAAATGGAACTGTGAAATGGAGAGGCTTCTGAGCTCTGATCTAATTTTTCGAGGATCATAATTCCTCAGTTTCCTTACACACGACTTCTTCCTCTTTCCTTTCTTCTGTATTGTTGATTTTTGATATGCTTGCATATGTTTATTTATTTATTTTTTTAAAAATTTATTTGAACATTCATGATTATTGATATACTTTAATTTAATTTTCAATTGATTTCTCATTTCCTTTTCCTTTCAGGAAATATTTTGTATTCGAGGACAGGAGGGGTGTGTACTGAAGCAAGGGGGTTTATCATAAGCAAATTGCGAAGACACGTTCGTTCTAGCATTTTGTTGACCTTTTGAGCATCATAACTGGTTATTATGGTGCTGAAGAAGAATGATCAAACTGCTGACCTTTGCCAGGCAGCTGATGACAGTGAGGATCCTAGTTCCACTTTGGAGGCTTCTGAGTGGAGGAGGGACCAGAAAGGTTTAGGACAGGGCAACGATGCCAATTTCAATAATAAAAAAACCGATATTGCGAATGAGGTTCTTTGCTCAGGTACAGATAAAAATGATAGAAGTGGGTCATGTGAGAATGGTCTAGTTAACAATCTGGGTCAAGGAGTTGAGGCAGTTGATTTGAGGAATAACCCTGGGAGTCTAGGTTTGGATTATGATATGGAAGATGGGCACCTTGAATCAAGAAAGAATAGTCAATCTTCAGAAGCTACTATTCAGAGATTATCCGCATCACCTAGTGACAGTTTTCATGGCCAGAATGAGAAGGTCATGCAGTCATATGAAGTAATGGAATCTGATGAAAAGTTTGAATCTTCTTTGCAAACATCTCATGGAGATGATGTTGATGAATCTGATGTTGAGGAAGAAGATGTAAGTAAAGTTTTTTGAGTTTTGAGATTTTTATCCTGTTAGAATATACTTATTATTCGTGATCTACTACAATATTCTCTTCACCATTTTATTTTTTAGCTGTCATTTCATATGTTCTGCTGGTAAGAAAATTCAGGCCATATTATCGTATGGAACTCTATGCCTTTCCTGTTTAGAAATTATCGACCTGTTGGAATAAAGTAGTTATGTTAAGAACATTATGATTCAGACAAACCCGGATTGTATTAAATACATTATGAATCAGAAATGGAATATATTAAGAACATTATAAAACAGAGTGTTTTGAATTTAATTAATTTGGTATGATATGACTCACTAGAACTTAATCGAGGAGTGTTTGAGTTGATTCACTTCTCTTTTGAATCTGCCTCTCTTAGTCACCCCAGTATAGAATGGGGTTTGGCACATATGAGTTCCAACAATGCTACTCCTTGAAAATTTGCATCATAGGTATCTTCTTTCCTTTTGAAGCTTAGTTTGGTGAGGGAGAAGATCCCCTAAAACCGGGAGGGAAGCTCTAACCAACTGTCAGAAGGGGGTGTTTTTGGTAAAACTACTTGACAGGGGAACATCTACTTTAAAATTTTACAACATTGGTGTTTTGTTCCAACTGTAATCTGTCCAGAATTTTATGCTAATCATCCTAGTGGGACATTAAAGTCCTCAGAAATGACAATATTTGGATAAATCTAGTTCAGTCATTCTTGTTGAGAGCATTAAACCATATTACACCTGCTTGTTTCTTTTATAACTAGTTGCTCGTGGAGTATGGAAGCTTGTATGCTGGTTCCCATAATGGCTCAGTCTACTGAATGCTGCTTGTTGTGACCTACAATGTTCCCATTGACATGGCCTGATTGACCCGGAGGCCTGTTATATTTGTTGATTTAACAGAGTATAGATATGCATATGCTTGTACATGCCTTCTTTATTTCTCTTTAATGCAAAAAGGCATGTCTGTACATGTTCTTGGTGGTGTCTTGTTCATTTGTCCATTGAATTGATCGAATGCATAACCTCAAGCACACTGCTAGGAAGCTAGCATTTTATTAGTTCATATGTCCATTGCATATGTTCATAGGTTGCTTTATTATATCTGTATTGTTAACCATTTGTATTCATTGTATGCAATTGGGTATATGAGGTTGTCTTGCTTTCTTTACAACATGGAAATACTTGTTTTCACATCTTGTTAGTAAGTTTCTGTTCTTGATTTCTTGCCAGACTAATAGTTTATTTAAATGGGAATATGACAGGTGAAGGTGTGTGATATTTGTGGTGATGCTGGCCGTGAAGATTTGCTAGCTGTATGTAGTAGGTGCAGTGATGGTGCAGAACACACGTATGTTTAAAGCTTTTCTTCTTTCAATTTTGATCTGTTGATAATTGCTGTATTGACTACATCTTAGCTTTATCAATTTCTCGAACTAGGTATTGCATGCGTGTGATGCTTGAGAAAGTTCCAGAAGGTGACTGGTTTTGTGAAGAATGCAAATATAATGAAGAACTGGAAGCACGGAGACAGGAGCCCGTAAAGTTAGGTAGTACTGAAAGAAGCAAATCTCTTGGAAGGACAAGTTCTGTAAATTCAGACCCTTCTACTAAGCTGGATAATAAGGACTCCTTATTTGAACGTAGTAAATTGAAAACTGTTAGTCTTAGTAAACAACTATCGGCAAAGAGATCTGGAGACAGCATTGAAGCCGGTCCAACAGCAAAAAAGCAGGTTTTTGAGTCAAGTGCAGGTTCGCCAACTGCGTTAAGTCCTAGTCGAGTGCCTGTGCTTTCTAGGGATAGTTCATTGAAGAATACGGATAAGACAAAAGGAAAGCTTACAAATCAATATTCAACAGGCACTGAATCTGCTGGGGATTCTTCAGAAAGTACACGTTCTCCTACCAAAAATTCTCACATCCTGAAAGGTAATTTCATCCTGAAAGCTCATGAACAGCTTGTGGATTTGGCTATTTTTTTTTTAATTTTTTTTTTTTAATTTTTTGTTATTATAATTTATAATCATCATTGTTATAACAACTTTTTTTAGGTTATATAGTATTGATTGCCTGCTTTTTATTCCAGGTAATTTCGCAAAGTCAAATTCCTTTGGCTCCTCTAATTTGAAGGCAACTGTAAAGGTGTCAGAAGAAGTTGTTCAAAAGCAAAGGCAAGGTGGTGTTGATGCAAAGGATGGGTTAGGGAAATTGATTGGCAAATCTACATCTTTTAAAGGATTAGGACGCTCTAGTTTGACTGAACCGAAAGTCAAAATGCTCTCTCCAAAATGTGCTCCTGTTCAGGAATTGAAAGGTCAGAAGCAAGTAAGAGATCGTGGCTCATTTGAAAGAAAGAACTCCATCAAATCGGACCATTCTTTTCCTGTTCAATCAGCAGCAAATTCTTCCAAGCGTCTTCCTCGTGTTGAAAACATCTCTGTAAGCAATAGCCGAGATTACAAGAATGCTCAATCTGATGGAAAATCGACTAGTTTGTCAAAGCAGGCCTGCAATTTGGCTCACAAGTCACCAGAGTCTATGGGTAGTTCAGGTACTTTGAAATCCAGTAATGTTCCTAGTTTTGTTGTTTTCCTCTTTAAGTTTTTGATAGTTTTTTTATCAGGTGAAGCTAAGAGGTTATCAGGGACAAGTATCAGGGGATCTGGAACTAGTAGCTCTGCCGAAGCAAAGCCCAGCCATGGCAGCTTAAAGGAAGGGCCAGCTTTAAATTCTTTGCGGACTGCTGATGGATCACTTGTTGGTACCAACGGGGCCAAGGCAGATGGGCATGACAATCAGACTGAAAAAGCACTAGAAGATAATGTAGGTCGCTCTAGACATGGTGTTAATGGTGCTTTGATTAGTGGAAATCGCCGAGGTGTTTCCTCAGATGTTTCCCTGTCGAGAGTAAAAGATGGGATGCATGAAGAAAATAAGTTAAAGGCTGCTATTGAGGCAGCAATGCAAAAAAAGCAGCACATTTTTAAAAAGAATAAGATACCTGAGAAACTTAATGAGTTGTCAGTGGCAATTAGTCAAGGAAATCAGGAAGGAGATGCAGTTCTAAATCAACCGATGGATTTAATTGCTGAGGAAGCAGTTCATGCAAGAGATGCAGGACTTTTCAGCAATACATCAAACTCTTTCAAACATACATCTGTTAGTACTGCAAAAGAGTTCAAAGTTTACCCTGCTGATGTTGTCCTTTCTTCTGAAGAAGACTCAGTTCTCACATCATCCGCCATCCCTGAACAAGAGGCTGTCTGGCAGTATGAGCTCTTTTCTCAGGCCTTCTTTCGTAATGTTTGGCAGATATTAGGTTTGTTTTCTTTTACTTATACTTTGCTGATGAGATGCTTGCTTGTTTTTGCAGAGGTGGTTTTGAGATACATAGAAATGGAAAACTTTCAGATGTATGTGGTGGGTTTCAAGCACATTTATCAAGTTGTGCATCTGGAAAAGTGCTTGAAGTGGTGAGTAAGCTTCCGCAGAAAATTGTTTTTAACGAAGTATCTCGACCATGTGCGTGGCCTATTCAGTTCAAGGAAGCAGGCCCTAGCGAGGATAACATTGCCTTGTATTTTTTTGCCAAAGATCTTGAGAGGTTTGTGCTAGCACATATTTTCTTCTATTTTCGTAGTTGAAGTACTTTTGTGGTTATACATGTAATTGCTCTGGTCTCATTTTGATGCCCTTTTTGCTTGTGTCCCAGTTATATGAGGAGTTACAAGAATATGTTGGAGTATATGATGAAGCATGACTTAGCTCTTAAAGGAAATGTGAATGGGGTCGAACTCCTTATATTTCCATCAAACCAACTTTCTCATAGATCACAGCGTAAGTTCCCAAAGTCTACATATTTTGATCTTTTGTGATCTTATAATTGTTTTTGATGTGTATAATCTTAACTGCTTGGAGGCAATAGTTCCTAAAACTGACCTAGATTGACCTCTTTAATCTTTATGCAACAACACAATATGTTGTTAGCCCAGGGCCTTGCTGAACAAAAGGCTCGTTACCAAGCAGTGTAAGGTGTTGGATTTACAGACTTACTGTTTCTTTGATCCTTGCTGATTCCAGACCTTTGCTTACATCTTCTCTGCTATGTGTGAAAAATATCTGTATCGTAATGTCCTATGACTGTCCTTTACTTCTTGAGTGACAGAATGAGGTTCCTCTTCCACAATCACTTGCTTGGTTGTATATTACTTCACTGTTATTTCGTGACTTGTTCTCTCTCCTTAGGATGGGTTGATGCTGCCGTTGTGAAATGCTAGAATGCAAAATTATAGTATTTTTGATGTTCTATGAAGAAAATATGCAACTTGTGGCCTGATCTGTTAGGTTTCTTCGCTTAATATTTTTTCATGAGCTGTCTTGTTTCTATGGGTGGATACTCTTTAACTTTTACATAGCATTGTTTTTGATAGGTAGTAAAGAGTTGTGCTAATATAATTTACCATTCTTCTGCAGGTTGGAATACTTTATATTTTATGTGGGGGGTTTTCCGTGGACGAAGGGCACGTTGCTCAGATGACAGAAATGCTTCTCTGGAGAGGCCTGAAATTTCTGTTTCTGTTGCAAATATGGTCCCTAGAGACAAAGATGTTTCAGCTACTTGTCTCTCTGAGGACACATGTTTGCAGAGGCCTGCAGTAGAAGACTTATCTGTATCAGGCAATGATACTGTTGTACCAAGATGTGAGGCTCCAGTTTTAGATGGGTCATCTCTTCAAAAGTCTGGCAGTTTGTCTAATGGAGATTGTTCTGACCAGGGATTTAATGTAGGTAGGACCAATTTGAGCTCACCAACCAGCCAAGGGGACCTTGATAAAATAACCGAAAAATGTTCTTCAGTTTTAGGTACAGAAGCATGCTCTGTGTCACGGACTGCTGCTCTGGTAATGTTTGGTTTCCTTGATCTTTTCTACATTATTTCCGGCTCTTTTGGTAGGATTTACTTAGATAATGTATCTTCACTTATTGCATTCCTGTCATACATGTCCTTTAATTTATTTGTCAAGTACTGATTTTCTGTACGTGATCCTGACTAGTATCTCCCACTGTATGTAGGAAGATCAGAATCGGCAAGACCCTTGTGTAATTTTAAAGCATCAGCAGTCAACACATAGTGGCAATAATCTTCATGAACCCAAGAAGTCGCTGTCAGATCTTGTGTCAGAGAAACGAGATATTTCATCTGATTCTTTCAAAGTGCTTATGGAGAGTAAGCAAGAGGATTGCTCTGCTTCCACTCTAGAGGAACAGGAAGTGCTGCATACAGTATGCAACAAAATTTATGAGAAGTCTGAGAATCACTTGAAGCAAGAAGATCAGTGTGTGAATAACATACAGGAAAATGGATGCCAGGCAAAACTTGAGAATAGTGTGGAGCAAGTGGACAAGAATCATTCCGTGTGGAAGAATGATGAAGTCAAATTGAATTGGAATGGGGGATTAAAACAAGAAGGGTTTGTGGATATAAATGTTTCTGTTGATGGTAGCATGGAAGCCCTCCCTGTCTTGCAATGTTCACCCAAAAGACATTCAGATGAAGATTCAAAACCTACAATAGAAGCTACTTCTGTGATCCCATGCCAAAAGAGGCCGTGGGCAGAAATGAAAGATGGCTCAGAAGGTAGTGAACAAGCATGCATCAGCAAAAGATTAAAAGAGGATGATGATTTATATAGTTGTGATCGACGTAGTATTCCAAGTGCATTTAGTGATAGGTTTGCAGCTCAAATGCGTGATGTGAGCACTAGCTCACGTACTGAAAATACATCTAATGAAGCTGTTGATGGGAAGTCAACTTTGGTGAATCCAGAATCAGCTGAGAGATGCTTCTTTCTTGTGGACCCACATGCTGTTCAAAGTAACTCATCAGAAGATCACTCGTCGCCTTGGAAAGCATCTTTGTTAGGAAATGAGAATCGGCTACCTGATGGATCTCCGAACTTGGAACTTGCTTTAGGAGTTGAGAAGAAACAGTCAAGAAAAGGAGTCTTGCCTTTCTATGCTGGGATAGTTGATAGAAAAGGTCCTGACAGGCCTCCTGACTTACCATCTCCAAAGGAAGAAGATGAAGATGCCAGTGCTTCTCTCTCTCTTTCCCTTGCATTTCCATTCTCGGGTAAGGAAAGCCCAGTGAGGCCTTAGAGGCCCCTGACAACTCTGGAACAGGTGCTTCCTGCAAGGCATGAGGCAAATACTTCTCTGCTTCTTTTCAGGGGTACATCAGGCAAGTAGACAGGTCAGTTCTCATATGTATATTATTTATTTCACATATGGCAAATCAATCGGTCATATACTTGATCCTTCTCATGGGTTTTTGAGAGGACCAATGCCTCATGTTCATAACCCCACAGGATTTGTTGATATTTTACACTGCCCTCACCCAAAAATCCCCATCCCTTCTCTCTCTCTCTCTCTTTTTATCTTCTTTTGGATGGTGCATAGGCACGGCTCTTTGTATATAAAGAGAATAGTAGCCGTCACAGTCCACAAATGCATAATGATCCAAACTGATGTTCTATGTACCGAAAATTGTTGTCTAGTTTTGTCTAATGTACTTCAATCAACATTTTCTTTACAAGATAGCAAAATAAATCTTTGAAATATTTTCTTGTTCTGAGTAATAGTAGAGGAGTATGGAATTTATACATAGTTTGTACTGGTGGAGAATAGTGTCAGTAATGACTGGCGCTTGTGGGCAAGGCCAGATTGTAGGACTAAGCCGTAACAAGTGTTACAGATTATCATTACAAACCATTTTTGGTAAGTCTCGGACCAAGAAGAATTGATATTCATCTTGCCAGTGGCCAGGAGTGCAAGCTGGAACTGTTTCTGATCTTGGCTTTGCTTGGACCTCGGCTCAGATGACCATTGTTTGGGATAATTAAATGAATACAATGTATATGATACTTGTATAGTTGTACCAGGATCCTTTCTGCCATATCTTTCCTCACCCACCCAAAAATAAAGCAAAGACAAAGAACTATTGGAAAAATAGCAGCTGTATAGAAAGGGTGGGAACTGGGCTTGAGATGCAGCCTGTTGTAGGCATGTTCAACGGCAAATGAGACGACTACTGATCTTCCCCTGAAATTTTGTGAGTTCGTATTTGTAATCTATCTGGCTTCAATTTGCTAACTCATTGGTGAGGAAAAATAGATGAGAATATCATTGAATTCTCTGGTTGTCTCCAAAATCCTGAGATGTGCCGTTCTTTTTATCCAGTTGGTCAACTATATTTGATTGAGTATCGAATAATGACTATACACTTGATCATCGAAATTTGGATATGAACATGATAAATTTGCTATTGATAAATTTATTTTGTTACTTAATAATCTTTACAAATTGATTCTATTATTTTATAGATCGTTTAATGAGAGCAAAAGTATACAATTTGTATACAAGTATAGATTAGCTTAACAATACCATGCAACAAAACAGCTTCTAAGTCTACAAAGTTCACACGCACACAATCAATCACTAGAATATTTTCTCCCCTTGTAACAAAATAAAGCCTTGGCTGTCTTTCGCAACCATTATCTTTTTTGTATCCAAACTCTGCAACACTATTCCGTCATCCTTCACAGCCACCCAAACTCTGTAATAGACAAAGTAAAGACATTGCATGCAAACGCATTAACCTAGAAACATCCCGAAGGTGGAGTGAGTCGATTCTTCATCAGATATGGAACATGGAGTACTGGAGTATGCTACGAGGCTCTTTTTGCTACTCTCTTATAAGCTTATCGATACAAGCAATGGCGAAACAGTATTAGTGTTCAAATTATTTTCTTTCAATAACAAAACAAATCGCACAATAGTTTTTGAACATTATGAAAATTGTTCTGAGCATCATATACTTTCGCATATGCAAAATAATACTCCGTATGTCATCGATGTGGAAACCGTGAGTTAGCCGCCCTTTGCCCAAACGACCACCCATGGAAATAGACCTCTTAAACTACTACTTTACTATTTATAATAATAACTAGGGTGGCTAACGCGCGCGATTTGCGCGCTATAGCTTGCTATGTCTGGGGGAGCTCTTTCGGTTTGGTCTTAAATCACAAATTTAGTTGTTGATAATATTAATAAGCGAAAATATGTAAATAAATATTCTTAAGTGTATAAATGTCCGCACACTGTTCTTAAGAGTATAAAAGAATTGACAAATAATATTAATAAGGGCAAATAAGTAAATAAATATTTTAGAGGGTATAATTGTCTAAATACTATTCATAAGAATTATCTCATATTTCTTAAATTTATAAAAGGTAGAGATTAATTCGTATAATAATAGCAACTCTAATAATTTTGCCATTGGACCAGCAACAACAATGTCATTGACCACCTAGTCCTATAATTGTACAACCACTTTATATAATAGTTTCCATACATGTATATATTGCAAATAAAAAGAAACAGAGGTAGGATTTGAATTGTGCTATTACTTGTACCCAATAGTTGTTCCGTCGACATGAGTTTGGAGATGCTTATTTGCAGTATAACATGGCTATTAAAATCCTCTGTTTTGCTGTTCCCCTTTCTAGTGATGGGAATTCCTCGTTCTTGGACCTTGCCGTTTCCTTAAATTTGAACCTAGCTGCATTTGCTCCTCAAAATAATAAGTTTTCTCAAGCTTCACAACATTGTTCTTTAGTGCTTGAGCTTGATGGTAATAATACTAGAGGTGTATTTCGACGCCAAAGTTGGGATGTTTACCATAGGCCTTTGATGACCTGTCACTTGCTTCTCGGTTAGATCCTACAAACCGAGAAATTTCGCGGGAACTGGACCATGTTAGGAACTTAGTTCAGTTGAAGATTTCAGGAGATTGTTGTCCAGGTATGGATGTTGGTAGTGTGAGTTCACTCCCGGGTACAGAGCCCAGGTATGGTGATGAGGATGTTCTCCCGCATACCTTGATGACAGAAGATCCGAGTCCTCTTCAACAGGTTCCTCCCCTGGCTTTTGGTGTTTCCTTTTCGTCTGCCCACAGTATCCCTCCACTTGCCTTGCCGCATTTGGGTGTTAACCCCTCTTGGGGGATTCAGTTTTCAGCGCGGTCCATTTCAACCAGTCATTCGACCACTTTACATCGTCGTACATCTCTAGGCTTTCGAAAATCGGGTAGCTGGTAGGTTATCGTACACCTGTCAAAAATAAAATCCTAACAAAACCTCCTAACAATGTAGTGGAGTAAGTAGAGTCGAATCCACGTGAAAACGGTTGTTTAATGTAACTTCTAGGAATTTGGAGAAACTAAACTATGTCACGAGATCGGGATAGAAAGGTAGTCTATACTAAAGCAAGAACATAATTAATAAAAAGGCCTAGGGTTATGGTTCACCATACTTATAATTCTAAATCTATCAAATACCATTAATAATTCAATCAATCAATTATCTGGACCAATTGTTAAGCCTACGGTCGGGTCTTAACACTCTCAATTCAACATATGTAGTTCAGTCGCTAACATAATCAGAATTGTTAATTGTAGGTAAGCCTCTAAAAGTGAGAACTTCCGATTCAAACTCTCATCAACAATAATTAATCAAACAATTGATTAGGTTGTAAGATTAACAATAAAACACTATCAATTAGAGATATGGATAATCAACATACCAATAACATCAATCAAGATTCATAGTATAAACACGGATTCCCAAACCCTAGAAATAAACTATTTAAACATGAAATAAATAATTAAAGCTAATCTAATAAAGAAAGCATAATTAAAAGAGAAAATTAAAATACCTTAATGGATTAATGTAACAAACTCAAGAGCAATCCATGGAGGAATCCATGGAATTGCCCTACAAAAACTATGGCTAGGAAGGAAACTAAAACGAACATAAAACAATAATAAAAAGCGTAAGGAGAAAATAAGTCTCCTTGAATATTTATAATTCTCTCAAATTCTAATCTAAAAATAAATAAAGAAAAGATATAAGAAAATATAAGTTACACAAGTTGTCAAACGATTGGACGATTGAAGACGATGTGGCACGAAGATGCTCGATGGAATCGAGAACCAACCGAAAGACGTGTTGCGATGCCCTTGCTTGCTACTGTCGTGGGTCAGTTGGAGCTATAGCTCCCTTGTCGAGTGAGCTATCGCTCACCGCTGCTGGGCTTGCGACCTATGCGAGCTCTCGCTCACTCGCATTGCAGGCATAACGTCAACTTCATGGGCTTATAACTTCTGATTTTTATGTTGTATATAGGTGTGTGACCTACCGTTGGAAAGCCCTTCAAGTCTAGTTTCCAATGTAACTTAAATCACTTCAATCCAATCTGTAGAACTCAAATTATGATCAAAAGAGTGAACAAAGGTCAGTTTTGACATTTTGTAAAACATCATTTTTCTTCGTTTTCAACTCAAAATTCGGAAAGGCACATAGTGATCCTTGTGAATGCTATGTTCATTTTCCATGCACACAATAATCAAAATCAACATCCACAAACATGGAATTTTCGGTTAATAAACTCAATTAATCGGCTTCCGTCAAAATATCATCTGAATCAACTCCAAACACTTCGAAAGCGTCCAAATAACTATGAAATCACCTAAAACATTAAGAAAAACACAAACGGAGCGTAATAGAGCACAAAACAGACAACTTATGCAAGTACGACCTAAGAAGCGACAAAAAATCCTATAAAACTAGCATAAATGTGCTTATAAATCGTATATATATATATATATATATATATATATATATATATATATATATATATATATATATATATATATATATATATATATGATTCATCTGTAGCAGAATGCATGTGCCTAACCATTTATTATTTTGCAGTGTTAAGGTTGGTTGCAAACGTAGACGAGCTTCGTTCTCAACAGACGACTCTTACAACCTTCGGCGAAAGAAGATGTTCTTTGATGTAGCATTTTGTTTATTTGGTTCTCCTGTTACTTAGTGTTTTTTTTGTTGTTGTTTTGTGTTCTTGTATTAGTTTGTCTTCAGTTAAATGAATCCTTGTTTAAAAAAGAAAAAAATTGAAATAATATCTAATATTTCCCATCAAAATTAATTTAAATTTTTCTAGTTTTTTTTTATTTTTATTATTATTATTCCCTCCGTCCCCTTATTTACATGTCTATTTCCCATTTTTTACGAGAATCAAGGAACTTAGACATTTTTTAAAGGGATTTGTTAAACATCGCCCGCAAATTATCATATAAAGCCCACAAATATAACTTGGTTTGACTCTATTGCCCTTTTCATTTTAAAAAAAAAAAAACACTCTCTACTTCTCTCTAAAAAAAATATCAGAAAATCTACCTCTCCTAAAAAAATTAATTACGACAATGTCGCGACGGCAAGGGAAAGAGGTGGCGGCGGCGACGGCGGAGGAAAGGCGGCGACCTGGTGGCAAGGTAATTATTTAATTATTTTTTTTTTAAAAAAAAAAAAAAAAAAAGACGGTGGGCGTCAGCTCCGGCCACCAAAGCCGGTGGGGTGGCATCTAGCTTGGAAGCCCAGCCACCGGCACAGGCGTCCAAACCAGGAGCCAGCCCAGTGGCTGTGGCGTCCAGATCTGGCGCCTGTGCCAATGGGTGGGCTTCCAGCTCAGGCGCCTGCCCACTGGCTATGGCTGCCGGAGCTGGCGCCACCGCCAGTGGGTGGGCGTCCTGGCCAGGCGCCCAACCCCTTATTTTTATTTTTTTTCTTTTTTTTTTGTTTTTGTTTTTTCTGATTTTTTTTTTTGGTTTTTTTTTATTTTGCAAAATCAGAAAATTAGTTTTATTTAAAATAATTTAGTTTTATGTCTAATTTTTTTTTTGTTAATGTGTTTTATTTTTGTTTAAATATTTATCAACTTTATGTGTTTTTTTTTAATAAATCGTGTATACTTTATTTTTATAAAATCAAATCTCTTTTTTTTGTGTTTATATTTTATTTTTTTTATGTTTGATGTTTAAACATTTTTTATGCCTTAATTGATGTAGTATGTGGTAATTGTTTGTGTTAATGTGTAATTGTTTTTTTTATTTAAAATATGTAATACATTAGGGTATTATGTGTGTATTTGTGTATGTGTAATATATTTGTTTTTTATTTTTTATGGTTAGTTATTTGAAATAATTTTTATTTTTTTTGGAAATCATACATTTTGTAATATATTAGGGTATTATGTGTGTATTTGTGTATGCCGTATAATATTTTTCTGTGTTTAATTAGTTGAAATAATT